TTATTAGAGATTGATATAAGTAAGTCATGTTTCTTTTAATTTCAGATCTCAAGGGATAACGATTTCTGGACCAAAAACATGGAAACCAAATTAAAAAATTTCTATTTTACGTGCCTTTTACCCGAAATGATTGATCCGAGGTACACTAGAGGATTAGAAATAAGAAATCCACCCAGAAAATAAATGTACCTGAGGATATTGTATAATAGTTTTATTTTTTTATTTTTTTTGTTATTATATTTTATATTTTTTTGTTACTTAGTTTGACTAGCCATTACATATTTTAATTTCTATGGAAAAATAGTTTTATTTATATTTTGGGGGATATCTTGGCTGCATCACGAATCACAGCCACACCATTTTTATTTTAAAATCACCATAAATCATAGAATAATATGCCATAAATGACCCAACGATGCCGGTAGACTCGGCGGTGTTGCCGGATGATTTCCTCGTGGGTCAAAAAGCCGGAAAGCGGGCGATGCGGATTTGTAGTTGGTCACGTGATGACTATCGCTCTTAACCCGCTGGATTTGCCTACCAGCATAGAAATTAAATTTCTAACATCTTGACAGGTGCTGACAAAGTGACGTTTTTTTGACGTTTGGAGAAAAATCAAATTTTTCTGCGATTGACAAGAAATGTCAGCATTTTTGACCAGTTGACAGGTCGCAAAACTCAATATTCTGGTATTTTAATTATGTTTCAATAGTTGCTTTGGAATCAATGAATAACAATATGGGAAACACTTTTCTGGCCTAGGCCGGGAAATTGATTCTCGTACTGCTAAATAATCGGAACCAAAAGATAAACATTTAACAGGTATTTAACCGATCGCAGAAAAAATAGTATGTGTATTTCGGTGGAAAAGCACATTCTCGGCCTTCGGTGTTTGCCGGCCTCGGCTACGCCTCGCCCGTCAACTTACACCGTCGGCCGAGAATGTGTCACTTTTCCACCTAAATACACAATATACTATTCTGACATCTTGAGAGGGGTTAACAAAGTGACGTTTTTCTGACGTTTGGAGAAAAACGAGTTTTTTACAAGCTTCTTCTACACCAAGCAAAATAAGGCAACTAAAATTGTATTCTGATGGAAATGACTAATAATTTCACATAAATGAAAAAACGTAAACAATTCGACAAAAATTGACAACTTCACTTTTGTGTCTGTTTGTGTTAAGTCAATATAGAGAATATAAACAGGGTATCCAGAAAATAGCGTATACCCTCTCCACTATGTAGTAGAGGACCCTTAAGGAACCCCAGAAAAATAATTAAAAAAAATCTAGTGGCATTCTTGAGGAAGTTATTAACATTTTAATGTTTATTAAAATTGGCAACACTGAAAATATCCCGTTGACAATTTGCCACAGAATCAAATTAAATACCTATGTAATTACCTGAAAAATGTATAGTGCGAAAATAGCATGCGTTTTTTTTCGGACGCTATGTGAAAAACTCAATTTTCAGCGGTAGCCTAGCGTGCGAAAAACTCCATTTTCAGAAGGCGTGAAAGGTGTTTTTACTAGCGTGCGGATAAGCCCACTTTCCGCACGCAATTCAGTTTTGAAAGCGTCACTATTCCGCATTACTTTTCCGCACTGGTGTGGAAAGGGAAAATATCTAAAATTGTACTTGAAATTAGTAGAGGTACAAGTATCAATTTTGATTTAGTACAACAAATATCATTCCATACTCGTGCGGAAAGTCTCTTTTCCTCACTTGATTTGGTAGAACTCCGCTTCGCATCGTTCGGCCAACTGTAATTGCGTGCAGAAAAGTGACACTTTCCGCACGCGAGTAATATCAGAAATATGTTTTAAGTCACGTTCTTGAAATTTCCTGCTAGGTAATGCTTTTCTCTCAAAAAGAAAAATATGAATATCCTATGTCGGCGTACTCCATCGGCTCCTATCTTGGTAAGGGTACTACCGCGGATGTTCGGTGGTACCTATATACCTCAGATTTAATTCTTCGATTTACGTCTCTTTATATTTCTTAAAAAGTGAGTGGTTTATGAGTAAAATAAAAATTGGGCAAAAAATTGTTTTTTGACAGTACTTCTTTGGCTTCTATTTCAGTGAGGGTAGTACCCAGGAAGTCCAAAAATTACTTTTTCTAAAGGATTTTTTGTGCTCTTCAATTTTTCTCTCTTTATATTGTCTCGAAAAATTAGTAGTTTTTGAGTAAAACGTCAATTAAGCAAAAAATGTCAAAAATCCAAGATGGCGGCGCCCTTTTGACAATGCTCTCCTAAAAGGAGGTCTGGGGACTTTAAGTATGTTTATCAGGACCATAAATCCTATCGATTGAGACTAGTTGCAGCTATATGTTATTTTGTTCCCAATTCAACATATAAGAATTTTTAACTGTCTTGGAGTATTGCTCTAGCCTTCGAAAAAGGACCATAACCCATATAAAATCTATGTAGGAACTTTTTATGAAGCAAGAACAAGAAATAGCAAGAGTCTTGCAGCAAGAACAAGAAATAGGTTTGCAAGAAATTTGCAAGAACAAGAAATTGGAAATTTCTTGTCTTGCTTAGCAAGACAAGATTTCTTGCGACCTGCAACACTAAGTATGCTACTTTGTTTTGCTCTAGTGGATATGATTCCTTATAGAACTATAAAGAAATAAATGAATAAACAACTGTCTTTTCTGTGCCCAGACTTTGTTACCTTGAGTACTGCCTTCTACTGAAAGTTTTTTTGGTGCAGGTTTGCAATTGTAGTTAATTGATCTATGAAGGTTTGATTCAGTACGGCAGGGCCCGCTGTTATTGATTAGAATCTTATATAAAGGAGAGAATATCATCCATCATCTCTGTTCGCAAATTCAATTAATAAATAATCTGAGGTTATGATAATTGCTGTTTACCTTTCTGATTTTTCAGTTCGATCATGTCATTGAACAGCTGTTTTGTCTAGGCGTTTTCTTTAGACCTGTTCTACCTTTTGATATATGTTCTATAGGCATTTTTCAACATTCACCAGTCATTTTTTTACACAACCCATTCTCAGTTCGTACTTTTGGGGTGAAACTGAACACGTCTTTTTCTATAATTTTCTTCAATGTCAAAATTAGAAGTTTGACAGCAAGCCTTCTTCCGAAATCTAAATGAAGAATCAGCCCCTTTTGATCTGCGACCTCACGCTAGGTGGTCGTCCGGTCTCGGGCCTCGGCCCTAATTAGTTTTGGGCGAGACTTTTTGGAATTTTGTGCCAGGGAGCTCAAGTTTTAGACCAATTTCTTGTTGATAATAATTGTCTAGAGTCGTCCCTTGGTCATTTTGGATTTTGTTTCGGTAAGTTTTGAGATTTTCTTCAGGAAATATTAACCTACGACACGTGTTCCATTTTTTTCAATAGGACTGTTCCGAGCAGCTTTTGGAAGTTTAAGACTTCACTTTTGGTTTCTAGAACTACCCTCAGTTGGAGGTAAGATTGATTCTAATATTTGGGGCTCGATCTGTTTTTTTATACGAACATCGTTATAGGGTCTGTGTATCTAGACAGCTCCTAGGCTGTAATTGAAGAGATTCTGGACTAGATCTAGATTGCTCTTACTTGGGCTTTGGTAGCCTCACTTCAGCAACCCTCTTGGTATCACTCTGCTAGAACCACATTGAGTTCTACGTTAAACAGATACACCGTGGATAGGACTCATGACTCACTTACCATACCTTAGTCTATCTACAGTGAGACCAAACCTGTAGATAACCTCACCTTAGGAACTTCTGGATTTATACGTACCTTTGAACTTCTGGATTTATACATACATTTGAAGATATCCAATACTTGTATACATGTAAGTTTCACTTTTCACTATTTAGGCAAATCTTATGGCGTTTCCGATTGGTAGATTCAGTGCGCAACGATTGTATTTGCATTCTTTCAATCGACCTGTAGAAGAAAAAGACAGAAATAGAAAAAAATGCACTAGTTCCGCACTAGATCTACCAATCGGAAACGCCATTATATAAATCACCTGACACTGAATTACGTCAGTACGTGGCCCTTAAATAAAATTCTAGAATTTTACACTGAGGTTGCCCTAATAATAATTTTTACCATTCTGGTGTTTAATTTGCCTGTTGGTAAAGTGTAATCCATAATGTACTTTTCTTATCACCAAACCGTTTTAGTCATGTTTACTTGAAATTCATATTTATCTATCAATATTTACATTCAGTTTTTTTATAATCAAATATTTATAAATTCGTACAAGCCATAATCTATACACATTTTAACAACTCCTGGCCCTCCCTATATTATATTGTTATTATTTTTAATAAAGAAAGTCAGATACATTATTGTACCTAATTAGTTGTTTTATTGGTAAGCTCTCCAATTGCACAGGTTTTGTTTATGACATCATTAAGAAATCTTCCTAGTTAAGTCACAATTAACTTGGTGGCGCCCAAAGGTAAGATGTATACAAGGAACCCATAGACCCATGGCCTCCGAACTGATGCTGACTAGCCGTATGCAGTATAATTAGGCAATTGCCACTCACTTGTGACACCAATTGTTAGGTATGCGGCGAGGTATGCGGGTTCGTAGATAAGTGAGACTACTTTTCCAAAATAAATTAACCATTATTTAAGAAAATAACACAAAAATCGCGGTGGATCTTGCACTATTACAACACTTCGTTTAACTAAACTACAATCTATGCCTAACTAGTCACAATACTAAATCACAACTCACTGTCTTACTATCGACGAGGACTCCGCTAATTATCCTATTATCAACCTATTCGCGTTCAATTTACCACCAACTATTGACACACTAGCATCTAATTATAATTACTGACGGAGGCCGACTCTGTTTTATAGCGCGTCGTAGCTTCTAGAATGGCCTAGATTCGCTTCCATTTGTTTCGAATTTACTGGACTATTGTATTGCACGGTAAAATTCTATTCGCAAATTTTCTAGTCGTCTTGCATAATTTTCCCAACTTGAGGGATTTGAAGTAATATCTTATCAATTTCAGGTCAATATGATAAAGGATGATGGGTCTGTCATTCACTTCAACAATCCTCACACTCAAGCCTCATTGGTGTCTAACACTTTCATCATCAATGGGTATTGCGAGAACAAACAAATCACCGAAATGCTTCCCAGTATCTTGAGACAGTTGAGCCTTGATCATAGATCTCAGCTGAAAGTTTCGGCAAGCTCAGCTGCTACTGCAACAGATGACGATGAAGAAGATGTCACCGATTTAGTGGATAACTTCGAGATAGCCTGCAAGGCTGAAGTTGCCAAGCCAGAGGAACCTAAAGCTGATGAGACGCTAAAAGAAAGTGCTGCTGGGAAGCAAGAAAAAATTGCTAGAAATGAAGATGAAAGTGCTGAAAAGCCAATGAGAAGACGAATGTTGAGAGCCAGAAGAAAGCGTTGAATAGTCCGAGGAAAGTGCTGAGAAGCAAAAAGGAAGTACTTAGGTTAGGTTATAATCACTTATATTTAATGTTTTTCATAGTTCAATCTTTTTGTGGTAATCTCATTGGTTGTAGTTTGGTATTAAAATTGAAATCTTCAAGAAAGTAGGTACATAACATTTTTTTTTTTACTTTCCAAACATGTTCGCTAATTTTCTTTATTTCTTTAGAAAAAATAAATATTTTCATATTGAGTGCAGTTTTTTTTTTTAATTGGAACAAAGTATCAAAAAGTATTTTCCTCAGTGAATTTTTTCCTAGACCTTTTGTCTCGTCCTCTGGATTTGCTACGTCACTTGTAGATCAATTCTTTCTGGATGTTTCCTTTCGTCTTCTAATCTTGATCGTTGGGTCTGCACGAAATAAACCGTACCTGTTATAACAATCTTACTGCTAACTCACACCAATGATGCCTCAAAATCTTTGCATATTCTTTAGTTCTACGTTAGAATTTCAGTTTGGTTTGCATTCTTAATTTAACAATAAGTATTATTAGAAATTTTTGAGTTTTACAAATATGACTTACAATAAAATGAAAATCGTATTTTCTGTAGGTATAATTTTTGATCTGAGGTACGCATATTCTTTAGTTCTACGTTGGAATTTCAGTTTAGGTTGCGTTCTTAATTTAGCAATAAGTCTAATTAGAAATTTTTGAGTGTACAAATATGACTTACAATAAAATGTAAATAATATTTTCTGTAGGTATAATTTTTCATTGGAGGTATGCATATTCTTAAGTTCTTCATTAGAATTTCAGTTTGGGTTGCGTTCTTAATTTAACAATAAGTATTATTAGAAATTTTTGATTATACAAATATGATTAACAATAAAATGTAAATCATATTTTCTGTAGGTTTAATTTTTCATTTGAGGTATGCATATTCTTAAGTTCTACGTTAGTATTTCAGTTAGGGTTGCGTTCTTAATTTAACAATAAGTATTATTAGACATTTTTGATTATACAAATATGACTAACAGTAAAATGTAAATCATATTTTCTGTAGGTATAAGTTTTGATTTTGAGGTAACAATATTTTTGAATAAACGTCTTTACAGAAAATTTGTAAATTTTTTATTTTTAAATTTCGCTTTTTCGAAATCCGTTTTGTCACCAAAAGTAGCCAACGACAGCAATGCAGCTATGGTTTCTTGGTTTTGCTGTGATGCTCTTGCGAGGGAAACTCTTATGCCAATGATCTCAAAATAGGAAAACCAGGCACAAAATTTGAGTACAATAGGGATGTTCACTATTTTTCAATTGTAATAAAAAGTGGTGGTTTTAGGTCCACAAAACACGTATTAGGCGTTAAAACATCTAGAAATCCTTTATTTTTCTGATAAATCGAAAACAAAAAAACGAAATTAGCGAGGCTAGCAAAACGACCCCCTGTGGCGAGAGTACCGCTTGTGACGTCACTGTGCGGAGCGAAAAATCAGCTGGCGCGCTGGCGAGATTTGTTTACAAGTTTACATTGGATTTATTATGTTGCTGACTGTTGCTTTATCCCAAGAAGCTTCATTCACTCCAATTATCTGTGTTTGTGTAATGATGCGAGACTCAAACAAAGTTGAACCGAGTCGAAAAGAGTGGTATCTACGTGCGTGTTTTTCTACGAGGTGCGAAAATGTGCTACTTTCCGCACGCAAATCGTTGCGTGAAGACGCGTTTTTCACACGCTCATAGAAAAAATGGGCCTGACACGAGCATAAAGTTCGTTTTCTGCACTTGCGGCTTGAGCGAATTCCGCTGGCTCGTCGTTTGTGCAAATGCCGTTGCGTGTGGGAAAGTATAACTTTCCGCCCTGGTTACAGGTAATTAACTATATATCATTGTTCAAATGCAACTATACCTACATCTGATAACGTCTGTTTTACTTCTACACCAATGGACTGGAGCTGATTCAAGTCAACACTTGACCAAACATTCTGATACCATAATAAAGTATGTTTTTTTTTAAAGATAATTCCCTAAGTCAACAATTTAGTAACTTTGTTGGCAACACAAGCCTTTTCTACACAAAAAATTTGAAAGCATTGACAATTTTACATTGTATTGCCAACATAATTGTCATTTTTACTTTTATCTTTTAAAAAAAAAAACAGATTTTAGATAATGAAATAAACAAAAAAATAGTAGATAACGTCCACCGTTGGCAGATTATGTGAATCGGCCTTTTGAAAACCCTCCTCCATTTTAGCCATAGTACCTTTTCTACCTTAATTTCGATAAACCCTATAACACAGAGATCGACATGAATGAGATAGCAGCAATATCAAAATACTTGTTAAACGTTAAACCTTTAAACAGACTCTCTCGTTAAATTAAAACCAAACCATAATAATAATAACAAGAATATTAATATCACTATTCTTTATTGCCAACAAAAATAGCAAAAGCAACGTCACAAGAGGCTGATCCAAGTAGCTAATAACGCCACTGTACTTGCGCGTGCTAACTCATTACGCATTGTGACGTCAGGCAGCGTTTCATGCGTTTAGACGAATATCAATATTTCGTCTCCGTTTTGCTCATAGAAAGAATTTTCTGATTTTCTTAAAATTTTGTAGATTTACTTATGGAACGATGCTTAATAATTTGATGATGGTTAAACGGATTTTTTTTATTTTGTGAACATTCCTATTTGGAGGAAACATTGCAAAAGCTTGGCTCTCGAGACAACTTTTGATGAAACCCAACGTATTTTAAGAATCGAATGACATCTCGATGGTAGAATCGTATCAAATAATCAGGTGTGATTCAAGTCTTTCGAAACATCCTACAGATAGTGCCAAATGTCGAGTTATCTATTGGATTATGAAAGCATCAAGTAATATTTCCCTTGGAAAATCAATTATCCCGTCCATAAACGAAAAATATTTCCAATCACAAATTTAAAATGTCGATATCCGGAGTCACGAAAAATTCTAGTTTATTGGGATTTAGGTGGTAAAGGCCAGCATTCCATGAATTGAAGTTCTAAGAATTATCAAATCATGGAGCGGCCCTAAAGATTATTTTCCTGTGAAGTAGATAGTTATCGCAAAATATAAATAAATATAAAAATAGAGTTTATGTTTTTTCTTCAAGTGAGTCTCACAACACCAAATGGGTTGATGGGTATAGATGAAATTGTAGCAAAAATCACAAAAGACGTAAAAACCTCAGCCTAAAAGGTATGCTTACGTAGGAATTCAAAATTCACCGCTAACTTCATGGGAGTATAATAACCGGAAGAACAAGAAAAGCAGACAAAATATCAGAAGACTTAAAAACAGTTATAAAGACAGAATAATAAAAAGGGAAACACGCAAGGATCTAAAAACGCATAACACACGAGTCATAGAAGAAACCATCAACAAGAAACGAAGATATTGCATTGAAAACTGTACGAGGAAAAAACGAAAATAACAAAGCTAGGAAACTACACACCCTTATACTCTCCTGAAACAAATAGTATATTATATACCTAGGTAGAGAAGAATACACTGCGGCCGTAAAGAAAGGAATAAATTCAATAATTATTCTCCTAAGCAATTTTTTTAAAAATCCTCGAACACGTCAATTTTATTTTTTATCGAGCATTTTTTAGAAAATAAAATTATTATACAGGGTGGTCGCAGAAACGCTGGACAGGTAGTAACTTAATTTTTTTAAATAGGCACCCCTATTTTTTTACATGTTCGGATTTCTGATAAAATTATAAATATTTTTCATGAAACATGTCCTATACCTAAATTAAAGAAAACGCTAGACTTTCAACAATAAATAGTATATTATATACCTAGGTAGAGAAGTTGGTCATTATATACCGAGCGCTTTTATAAACCGAGGCGCAAAGCGCCGAGGTTTATAATGCGTGAGGTATATAATGACTTTCTCTACCGAGGAATATATAGAATTTTTTTTACTACTGCTAGTAGAAAATAAAAAATTTGCTTAAAATCTGTGCTCTAATTTTTTTTTTTGAACGCCCTCTTGAAAGTGCTGCCCTCTATCAACAGCTTATGATAACTTCCTATGTACCTACAGAAACCTGTATTTTGTTTTAAATTGACGCATGAAATTGAAATTGAACCAATAGAAACATGACAATATCCTTGCGTCATGACGTCATTTTCATTATTGACCTAGGGACTTTTTCATTATTTTCATTATTCACCTAGGGAGAGAAATTCAATTTTTTCCTAGAAAAATGGATTGAATAATGACTATTTCTCAGGTAAGTAGTAAAAAAAATAGTTTATTTCAAATTCACAAAAATATCAGGGCGGCGATGCTTTCAAGAAGCTGAACAAAATGCAAGTCCGTACAAGTCCATAAAACTATCGACTAGGTACCTAGCCTAAAACATAACTGTTTTTTGAAGGACCCTTTCAAAGTTGCCGATAGGTCTCGTCATAAACATTGAGTCATGCAACCCAAATAATAAAACCAAGAAATGAACTATGATGGCTTTGAACAATAGTGGAGTTTAAAAATGATTTTATCATGTCATTCCGTCGGAACTCTATTGCTAAAATGTAAAACCTATCTTATATCGTTCCTTACGCCTTAAGAAAGCAAAATCGATTGGTCGTCAAAAAATCGTGGCGTGCAGGGGGGTAGTTTGGGGCAGTTTTCCAAAAAATTGCAATTTTTTTTTTTTTCATTTTTCGAATCTACACTACGTGTTCAATGATCTGCAAAAGTTTTATTTCAAAATTCCAAGTAGAAGTATTTTATTTCGAATTTTGAAATGTTTGTACAACACGCATTTATATGGAGTACCTTAATATAAAACAGCTCGCACTGAAACATCAAAATTGCAACATCATTCACACATAGATAACTCAAAAATGCTTATTCTAATCAAAAAAACACTTTCCATAAACGCTGTAGATCAAAGATCAGAGATTCAAATGCTTTTTTATAGTCAAAAATCCGATAAGTCGTTTTGTCAAAAACATGTAAAATGTGAAAGCATGTCGTGGCGACCGCGCTCGGACGCAGAGATGCGAGGATGGTTGAAATTCCCTTGGCATGCGATTGATTCTATGTGGTGCACGGTCCGTATTAGATATCTACCGTTTATGACTTTTTGGTATAAACTATTGACTGAATTTAAATTTGCATACAACTTGTATTTAACTTAATTCGTAGCTCCAATAATAACGGAGTTAGTAATTAATAACTTGAAGTGCTGAATTAATTCGGGGTACCCTATATTGTCTCTTTTTTTGTAAGAAGGTATACTTACATACTATATTTTGTAAGTAGGTATTTCTATTATACAGCTGGAAATATCAATTATCAGCTGTGCGTTTTTTTGTCAAAAAAACTTGTTTGAATCTCATCAAAAATCCCGACAGAAATTCCTTGGATGTACGAAGGTCCGTATGAACATTAATTAGTCAAGGCAACGACACTGTATTAGGTCAAAAACACTTCACAGATAGTGAAGAAAATTCGAATTCTTATTGAATGATGTAAGATAGTTTAATAACAATGTTAATAAATTCTTATTAAATATTTATCTCTTTATTAGGGCCAAATTATGGACCAACTGGTAAGTGTCTGGTTGTTACCTAGCAGGTACTTTCTATTCTCTAGTGCATAGAAAGTACCTGCTAGGTAACAACCAGACGTTTACCAGTCAGTCCATAATTTGGCCCTTAGAGAGATATTGCAAATCAGCCCTAATAACGCTATAATCTTACTTAGACGCGATAGGTTATTTCCTTACTTCGAATGATAAGTTTAAATATTGCAAATTTCCAGAAAT